TGTCAGGTGCACCTTAGTCTTCAAGGAGACATCCTTGCTCCTCAGCACTTGAAACAGTTCCTTCGCGGTTGACTTTCCCAATGCTACACGTCATCTAATGTCCTGATTGCTCCTTCCATTGGCATTGATTGTAGAACCAAGCAATGTGAATTCTTTGACAACCTCAATCTTCTCTCCATTTATTGTGATGCTGCTCATTGGTCCAGTTGTGTGAGAATTTTTGTTTTCTTTATATTGAGACGTAATCCATACTGCAGGCTATGTTCTTCAACCTTCATCAGTAAGTGCCTCAAGTCATCCTCACTTTCAGCAAGCAAAGTTGTATTGTCTGCATATCTCAGGTTGTTAATGATTCTTCCTCCAATCCTGATGCCACGTTTTTCTTCATATAGTCCAGCTTCTCAGATTATTTGCTCAGCATATGGATTGAATAAGTGTGGGGAAAGGACACCACCCTAATGCACTCCCTTCTTGATTTTAAACCATGTAGTGTCCCCTTGTTCTGTTCGAACAAAGTATACAAAAAGTATAAAGTGCTTAAAACTAAGAAAACCAAACGCACTGCCATTGATCTGACTCATAGTGACCCCTCCTTGGGTTTCAGAAATGGTATCACTGTGGAAGTAGATTGTTCAACCTTCCTTCCAAAGAGTGGCTGGTGGGTTTGAACCACCAGCCTTCTGGTTAGCATTCAAATGCCTTAGGCACTACACCACCAGAGCTCCTATACAGTGCCTAGAACATAGTAGACACTGAATAATCATTGCATTTTAGTAGCACCACTCTTGTTGCTTTTAAACATCTTCATCTTCTCCTTCTACCATCTTCCAGTGTTCTCTTCTCAATAAATAATGCCATCATCTGCACATTTATTCAACAGTGAAATCTCAAACTTATCCTTGACCCTTTTCTTCACACTCCATTCCCAATCTATCACTAAAAGGAGCAAGGAGCTCTTTTATTATTATTATTTTGTTTTTGTTGAGAATATATACAGCAAACATGCACCAATTCAACTGTTTTCACATATGTAATTCAGAGCCTCCTCCCCCAAGGTCACACCCTTTAACAGAGAAGCCCATATCCAGTTACTGATTGATGCAGAAGTAAAAGGCCTAGTCACCCCAATACCACTTGAACAACTACAGAGCTTCCCAGAGTCAGTTAAGGCTGTCATTTGACCTGCATTACACCTTGACTTCTTCCTCTACCTATTACTGCTTCCTTCCTCTCCCTCCCACAGCTGTTGGTTACAAGGCCATCTCTTAATAAATATCTTACATGCTAAATTCTATCCCTGAATCTGCTTCTCAGGGAACTCCACCTGCAAATGTTGGTACCAGAAGTCTGATAAAGTAGACAGTGACAGAATTTTGTAACTAGATCATTCACTGCTCAACTTGTGATGAGCTCTGCATCACTAGTGGTAAGGGGAGCAAGATATCCTGTGGCACAAGATAATGATCTAGTTGTTAAAACTTTCACCAGTGGTGAATCAGGATGGTATACCAATAGAAGAGAATGCACTAACTGATGCAATAAATAAATAATTAAGGACATATGGAATAAATAGCAACCAACTATAAGGGCAATGGAATTATTGCTATTGCTAAGTTTTGTAAAAGGATAAAAAACTGAGAATGGTTGAGAGACTGAAAGTCAAGAGTGAAAGTGAAAGGGCCTCTTTGGTAGCATACAATGAGTATCTCAATTCCCACAGTGGGAGGGCAGAAAAGCTTGAGGACCCGGATGAGAGCCTAATTTTCAGATAAGAGAAGCTCCAATGAAGGTTAAACTCTCAACCACAGCAGGTCTGCTATGGGACATGAGATAGGGACATCTGAGTTGAGGACCCAAATTTTTAAATGGCCAAATTCCTCTGAACCCTTTTAGTCTACAGAAGTAGAAAATGCCTCTCTATTAAAGAGTTAGCAGTCACTCCCCAGATGAAGAAAACATAGAGGCCTCCCTGTAGAATAGCATATGCTCATCCACAGTTACAGAAGAGAACTGAAATAATACAGTATGTTTTCTTAGTGTCATGAAATCAAAATTTTAAAATAACAAATATGACAGGAAAATACTTAAACACTGGGAAATTAAGTGACACATTTCTTTATAAAAGGAAGGTGCGAGGGAAATTAGAGAATGTCTTGAGTTGAACAAAAATGAAAGCACAGCATATCAAAATTTGTAGCTTGTACCTAAAGCAGTGCTTTGAGGGGAAGTTATACCATTAAATGTGTACACTAGAAGGAAAGAAAGGTCTCAAGTCAAAAACTGAAGCTTCCATCTCAATAAACTCAGCAAGCAGAAGTAAAAAACAAAAATGCAAATAAGAGCAGAAGTAAATAAAATTTCAAACAGAAAGGCAGTAGAGAAAAATCAGCTTATTCTTTGAAGGATGACTACATATAGTCCCCCACTTACTACATATTTTGAGTTAAGACAAACCACACTTATGATAGCCAGTGTTTTTGGTCGTTGTTCCCCCCACACACACACTTTTAATACATCTTATCCTTGGTAAGATATACTACATATAGTGTTGCAGTGCATAATTTTCTAATGTTATCCTCAGATGTTTACTCACAGACATTCAGTGTTACAATTTATGAAGACACTGATAATAAAAGGCAATAATAATGAAAAAAATGAGGTATTCAACTGACATCAGAACTGATATCAAACCCCATTGTAAATTGGGAACTACCTGTATTCTTTGAAAGATGACTAGCCAGAATGACCAAGAGATAAAGATGTTGTTGTTGTTAAGTGCCGTCGAGTCATTTCCGACTCATAGCGACCCCATGCACAGCAGAAC